TGAGGTGCACAAGTAGAAATACATAATGCAAAAGTCTGAGATATACTGAAGGAGGATTTGAAAAAACACACTATCATCGCTCAGAGCTTATATGAACAGTGTGCTTTGAGCCGTGAAGGTCTGTCTCAATTGAAATGCAGAGCTGCTCTCTTGATGACTTGCTGCCTTCAGAGGCTTGAGGGTGACAGGGGGATGCCTCCTAGCATTACAGCCCATTAGGCCACATGCTTGTTATCTATAATAGCTTTCTTAGGACAGCACACTAGTTTGGTTCATTTCATATCGCAGCATAAGCCCATTCTGCTCCAGTGGTGTTTTGGTCTATTTGGTTACTTGTAATTGAATTTTTTCGATGTCTCCTCTGAGAGACCAGAGCAGCAGAGTTGAAACACAGCGAGGGACACACTTGATGTTCTTCATCATGATGTGTTCAAAGGGGGAAAAAAAATCATTAAGTAATACGAGTCTGTGGATAACAATGGAGCTAAATAACAGGAAGGTCGCTGCTACATCAACCTATTCAATGTTCAGTTATATATTTTGCTGTTGTTGCTACACAACCACTTAACACTAGAAAGACCAAGGCAGTCATTTTGACAGTTTTTTAATTTTGCAATGTAATAACTTACTTAAAATAAAACCTACGTAACTACAGGACCATGACTTTTCTTAAATGTGCCTATATTTTATTCTAGCATTGTAATTTTATCAAAAACACAAAACACAAAAGAGTTTTGAGTATTTCTACCTTGAAAGTCCATAGCGGGCATATTGACTGCATGCATTATAGCCAGTGTATCATTTCAGTATTCACTACTTTTTCCCGCTCTTGAAGGTAGAGGTGGGCGATATGGGAAAAATATAATTTTTATCTTTTTTTTTTTTTTTGGCAAAATCACGATCACGATTTTTTTCATAGTGTTCTTTAGACAAATTTGTAAGTTGCTGACCAGTCTTATCAAACTTCAACCAAACTTATTTCCCTGTATAATGTTTTTAAATGCACAAAAACTGTGCAGACAGGTTTAATCTATTTGAAAAACATCTTTGTAGGAGGTCTGGAGGTCTCTCACCCAGAACATCTTTAGCACCAGAAATATCTTTCCCTCAATTTGATCAATATTTAAGAACAATTTGAAGGTTTTCCTCACCACTTTCAAATGATGATTTAGTTATGTGTCCTCTTTTTTATGTTCATCAGGAACATTTTCACGCAGTGATGCAATCATTTAAAAACATGTAGACTTTGAGTTCTTGTGTTTCTGTTCTATTTTAGCCCTGCAGAGTTCCTACAGCTGTAGCTTCATACGGGCTCTGTAGCCTTTGTTTATAGGCTTTGTTGTTTTTTATGACATCATTGGACTAACTTTAGATTAGTTTATATATAATCAAACATAATACAGAATGTGTTCATTCTGTGACACATGATCAAAGTAAGTTTTACTGACAGAAGAGTTTAATTCATAGAGGGGGCGGGACATTGTTGATTGACAGACAGACAGTCACCATGGTTACTCACTCTCACCTGCCTGCTGCTTAGTAACATCGTTTAGCCTAATCCCTATAGGTTCCGTTATCACAACAGGTGAGCTTCGGGTGGAGAGGCTTGATAAGTAACTTTTGAAAACCGAGGGAGAGCAGAAAACACCGACAGCAACATTTGAAACACCGGGGTTATATCTCCACTGACTGTCTGAGCTCCGCCCTGTCTGACTCTGACTGTTAACGTCTCTCCGTGTCGCTATCTGAGATGTAGACTAATCTTAACTGTGCACACTATGCAGATAAGTTAACTGTTGCTCACAGCGTGTCGGTTTGGAAAAATATCAAAACAGTTGCATATAACCGAGATGGAGTTGTTTTTGCGGACTTTAAGTTTTCACTGCTGCGGAGCAAAAAAGGAGGAGACGTGTCTGTGTAGGAGCATAAACTGCAGCATGATAGAATAAACACATTAGTCCGGTTCTACGATCTCTCTGCTTTGGCAGATCATCAACAAGTTAAAATCCTTCACGATCTAAGATCGTTATATCACCCACCACTACTTGAAGGTGCGCATCGCTGTTGCCTAGCAACTATTGTTTATAATGCTCGAGCCAAGGAGGAAAGAAAGCTTACCCGCCTAAAACCACATAGAAAGAATAGGAGACATACATTTGAATTAATCAACATTGAAAAGGCAGAATAGAGTAAATTAGGAGGAGGAGGATTGCTGCCACAGAGGCTTTAGCCATGCACCAGAGCCTTGATGAGGCAGAGTCTGATGGAGGCACAGGTTCGGATACGGAAAGTGGCGTCTCCTGGTCTCTCGAAACTTCATCTGACACCGGCTTTGAGATTGAACCTGAGAATGATACAGAGATCATTCCCATTCGCAAAAAACGCCAGCTGCTGTTTCCGTGGTTGTCGATAAACTATTCAAATTTCAAATTCATTAGAATTTAATGTTTGTGTCCTGAAGTTTATTATACCTTTCACAACATTACAGATCCATTTATTCTTATATTTGATATTGATTATTGAAATGATATGCAAATAATTCGTAAACAGTCAAAATGACTGTTCTCGTGTTAAGTCAGATGTTCCAGACTGAAATATTTCAATAAAACCAGGCTCATGATGAACAGCCATCTAACGAAACTTTAGTTCTCTTTTTTGTAAATAGTTATTTGACAATACATCATCTCTTTTTCTAAAGCTTTCCATACATGATTAAAATCTCACTATAGGACGATGTTATAATCCTGTGTATAATTTTTTTTTTACTGTAAAAGTATCCCAACATAGTCAACATATAAATCTTAAAGCTTCATTCTTAATGTTGTATGTCCAAAGGAACAATTGAAAGTATCAACATAAGGACACATTAAAATGCAAAGAAAGCTACTACTAGCCTGTAGCAACAAAGCCCAAATAATAAATATTAATACAAGTTCTGCTCTGACAAGGCAAACGCTCCCCTGCTCTCCATGACCTGAGCGAGTGCCTTCATCTGATGAAGACTGTTTGATACAGCTCTGGAGAGAGTGGAACTGACTTTTATTCATTTAATACTATAATAACTTTAGTTCTTGTGTCATATTAAATGCTGTATTAAAAAAAGGCTGTTAATTTAACACATGCAGCTGATCCCAGTTTTAGTAGAGCTCTCCTTTTGTTTGCGATTGGATTTAATATTGGGCCTTAGTTATGAACGCACACAGGCATGAAAAAGAGAGAGAGAGATAAGACACACAGCCTATTATTTGTTCAGATAAAGCCTTTCATTCATCGTGTACAATAGACTGTTCCCTCCTTCAATAAGATTTCGGTGTGTGTAACCAAATACATGTTTCAGAAATAATCTCCCCATCTGTGAGCTGGGAGCAAACTGCTGACACACTACTATCCTTAAATACACGCTGGTCCCCTGATGACATTCACTTATCTCACTCTAGCAATAAGACTTATTGAACAGGCTATTAAGATTCCAGATAAGGCTTCATAATGTCCTCCCTCCCTTACATCCATGATAACATCACTGTTATCACGTCTTTTTGACTGACTGACAAACTGGAGGTATAATTTCTTGGCGATATCAGAGCATCTGGTTTAGAGGACATTTGACTTTCCCTCAGCTCCTGATTTTTTTTTTTTCACTTGAGCTTTTATGAACAGTGAGGTTTGACTACAGAAAATGAATCATCTTTAATCCGATGCCTTCCATTCAGTGTTTCTGCTCTCACTATTTGAATGAACCTGACCTCTACAGGAAATGAGTATCCAAGAAATCCCTCATGCTCTCATGATGGAGTGAATTCCTGATTAATTCATAATCCCTTCTAGAGTAAAATAACACATTATTTCCTCAATAATTATGCAGCAGATCTATCATAATAAGTTCCCTATTTACACTGGCATAAAGTTTTCTGCCCATTTTGTTCATCTTTTTTTTATTGTAATTAGTATCTCATCGCATTTAGTTCATAGACATTTTGTAGAAAGTGTTCCTCAGAGATAAATGTGGGGAAATCATTTTGAATACCCATCAGGCTATTTAACACCACTTACTGCTGGTTCGTTAATTCAAAGATGTTTTATTTATAAGGTATGTCTAGACCATTTTTGCCCAAATAGCAATATATAAGTATCTCTAGTTAAAAGTTTTATGCATATGAATCCATAATCACTTTGTAGTGTTTTGCCTAAACCATACAAAATGGACATAACTAAATGTTACAGTCGTTCCTTGCTCTTCTGAATGAGACAAGTGTTCTGACAACACGATGGTTTTTGATGAACAGGGACTAAAAAAAGTGCTGGGTTGGGGCACAGATGTCCTGGCAGTTAATTCACGCCCCATGTGTAGAGGCATGTCAAGCTGGATTCTGACCTGTGGCTCCTTCCCCCTCATGTCATTCCCCCCCACTCTCTCATCCCCATTTCCTACTCTATCCACTGTCCTATCCAATGAAGGCAAAACACCCCAAAAATAAATCTTAAAAACAAGTGCTGGGTTAACATTGGTAGAGATATTACCTCAAGAGTTATTGAAGACAAAAATAGCTCGAAAAGATGAAATTAAAACTGACTTACAATCATCACATACCCACCTGTCAATGTATCGATGCTATCGATGGAAAGTAACCTACCCTACCATCGATACAGTACCTTACCCTAGGTTAAGCTCATTTATGAGATGTTTTCGTCACGTTTTGGTTAAAAACTTTTTTCAGCTGTCCAATGTTTCAAAAGAGAGCAAGAACAGATTCACAACTTAAAAGAAGAAGCTTAAAATCTTTTTTATTGTCCTGGGGACGGATCATTTCAGATTCGGATAAAAAAAAAAAAAAGAGGATTTTAGAATTCTTGAGATAGGACCTTGTTTTTTAGCAGACTGTCAGAGGTTTATCTTTGAGAGAAACAAGCTCCAAGCTTTTACACTTAATTATACATGAAAAGGAAAAAAGCTTGGTTTAATGCCAATTCAAAAAATAGGAGAGTTTCAAAAAGGTACCTACCGATGGGTAAAACCAGAAAAAAAGGGAGCCAGCACAGAATGAAGCAGCCGACAACAATGCCCAGAGTCTTGGCTGCCTTCTCTTCTCTTGAGAACTTCAGCATCCTCGGCAGGGAGAACGTGGAGTGTTTATGCTTCTTTTTCCCCTCTTCATCGTCCTGTTTCTCTGACAGAGCAGCATGTCCTCTGTGTATCCTCAGTGTCACCCCCTCTGTCTCCACCCCTCCACCCTCACTGCCCTTCCTGAGGGTCTTTGTCTCTCTCTTTGCCACAATGTACACACGGCAGTACATGGCCAGGATGATGGCCAGGGGTATGTAGAACGATCCTAGAGCTGAGAACAAAGCATAGCCGGGCTCCTCCGTTATCCGGCACACTGTCTCGTCTTCTGGATCGGGCTCCTTCCAGCCGAACAGAGGCCCCACTGATATCGCTGCCGAGAGTCCCCAGAGAGCGGCTACCGCAGTCAGGCCTCGCCGTCCGGTCGCCATGGCAGGGTATCTCAGAGGGTAGCTGACAGCTAAGTAGCGGTCGATAGAGATCACGCACAGACTGAGGATGGAGGCGGTGCAGCAGAGGACGTCCAGGGCGGCCCACACGCTGCAGAAGGAGCGGCCGAACACCCACCTGCCCAGAGCCTCCGACGTGGCGGAGAAGGGCAGAACGGCAGAGCTGAGCAGCAGGTCTGCGGCGGCCAGGTTGGCGATGAAGTAATGAGTCACGGAGCGCCAGTGGTGGTGGAACAAGACCGACAGGATGACCAGGATGTTGCCAAGGACTCCGAACACAACAAACACCACCAGGAGCGTCCCCAACAAAACAGCCTTGACAACATCCAGCTCGGGGAAGGCGGTGGAGCTGCAGTTCATGCAGGGATCAGCTGCAGAGAGGACGCTCATGTTCTCAGCAGGAACCATCTTAATGTGTTGGTTCTCTGAAGCAATAACAGCAGCTTCAAAACTCCACCTTGCTCTTCTTTTTTTCTTATTTAGTAGTTAAAAGCATTTCCTACAACATAAACTGGTCTTTGAGTTTTTTTTTTTGCCTTGGCAACAGCAGCTCCTGCCATCTCCTTGCCAGTCACATGGCCTTTGTCAAATTCCCCTGGCAGAATGTCAAGTTGAGAGGGAAAAGCACTGCCATAAATTGTCATGTTTACTCCGGATAAGCTTAATAGCTCGAATATTCCCCTTCTTAAGTGGCAGTCATGTTCAGACATGCTGAAAGGCTTTATTGAAGAAACCTGTCAAAACAAGGAAAGAGATGATTAATACCACATAGTCCAACACTTTTATAAATACCCCAAACAGGCTCATTACATTTACATGTGCTTTTCTGTTCTTCAGCGCTGGAGGAACAAAAACTCACACAGTAAATAGGACCCACTAGGGGAGATAAGTTGGTTAGAATATTACCACACAGCTACCAGTCATTACTCGAGGGTAACAGTATCACTCTGTAGTTGATGAAACCTCTTTGTTTGCAAATCAATTTTTTATTACAGAAGCCTTGACGTAAACAAAAGATAAGATACACTTGAGTAAGCACTCCTCAAAGTTTCTTGAAAATATCTGAACAGGCTTCCCCTGAAATCTTCCTATTTGCATATTCACATTATATACTTCCCAGTGGGAGGGTGAGGGGTCAAGAGGTAGGACATGACGTAAAAAAGGACGATGTGGAAATGGCCGATGATGAAACTATTATGACAGTGTTTGCCTTTATATCTATGCCATGTGGAATAGCTTCAGGCGCCTTCATCCCCTTAAGTACAGACCATAAAGGAAGTGTGAGTAGTAAATAGATTTGAAAAAATGAAGAACGAGAACATGAAGCATCTTAAATATGTGCACGACGATCGCACCTGTTGCACATTGCTTGTCATGGTTTGGTCTGGTTTGGTTTTTCAGAGTTTAGATTTTCTTGTTTTAGCTTTTCTTATTCTTCTCGTGTTGCTTTTTTCCTGGTTTATTTTGCAATTTATTATCCTAGTGGTTCTCTGTGTCTTTAGTGTTTTAGATTGTAGTTCTTGTCCCCAGTGTTTCTTGTGTTCATTCCTGCTACTGTGTGTTTCCCTCCAGTTTTGATTGCTCTCATTGTCTTCACCTGTGTCGTTAGTCTCACCTGTGTCTGACATGTGTCGACTACTCCTGTCGATTTACTCTCAGCGTTCCGTCCCTCTTGATGTCAGTTCATTGTTCTATGTTGGATGTCGGTCTATGTAAGTTGTCAATCTATGTCGGTCGTCGTCCAGTGTTTTCCTTGTGGCTCCATGTTTTACCTTTTAGACATTTTTGAAAGTACCTTTTTGTTTGCCTTTTGCCTTTTTTTGTCAAAATAAAATGTTTTTGGTTTCTGAACTCGGGTCCTGCTCTTTGTTTTTTTATAGTTCATGACACTGGTGGCGGGATGTTAAATACAGCGCCCCCACCCACTAACATGGACGACTTTCCTGAATGTTACCTGCTGCTACTACTTGTTTTGTAGTGACTTTGTGTTTGTTTTGTTTTTCTCCATTTTCTCACTCTGACTTTCACACACACACACACACACACACACACACACACACACACACACACACACACACACACACACACACACACACACACACACACACACACACACACACACACACACACACACACACGTGAAACATGAATATACCCCTTTTCTGGCCTGTGCTTACTGTAATTGTCTCTTGTGTTGTATCGTAAGTGTATTGTCTCTTGTCTTGCAATAAAGAAAAAAAAAAAAAAAAAGTATGTCATTCCCCAACCTCCCTCTTCCTCTATCCTGTATCAAAAATAAAGGTCCAAAAAGCCTTAAAATATATATTTTTTATATATTTTAATTTCTGTGCATTTTCTGCGTTCTCACATAAGCACTTCATGCAGAAGTTCTACTCTTGGGATGGCAGGAAAAAAATTCAAGTTGAAAAGCTGCACATGCAGCTGAAGTGGAAAATGTCAAATTTCAGGAGCTTTGTGTTCCCTGTTAAAACACAATTTTATTTCCATCCCCTATAAAACTACAGCCTAATGGTCGTCTCTGTTATCTTGCAAAGGCAACTAACAGACAATTACACACCCTGTCATAAATATCTAATTTAAATTGTACCAGGCTGCATTAATGTAAGATATAAATTTGAAGAGATCGTGGAGGCCAGTGAGCTTCTGAACAGAAGCGGTTGTGAGAAAGGAAAATAACTGAAACAAGACGTAATCAAAAGGCATGGGCAGAGACAAGGACACTGTAGCACAATAATAATCCTTTGGGGGGGGGGGGGGGGAAGGAAATCATCCATAGTGTGATGAGAAAACAAGCCTTTCAAGCGGGGAATACAGAGATAAATGATAGAAAGATCACTCTACTGAAAGACAAGACATTCAGCTGCAGTCTGTGATAGCTTCCTTTAAGGTCTTGTGACTTTGAGCTGCGCACTAACTCAACCTCCAGATGACAGGCCAGGAATTGAACCTTGAGGAAGGCACTTTATTACGGGCGGGGAAAGCTTCAGCCACTGATAGACCCACTCAGTACCACTCTCTGTGTACGTGTTTGAGATCTGGGATGTCACTGAGCGAGATAAACGTGGTGAGGGGGGAAAAAAAGAAAAAGCAGATGCAATAAAGCCTTTGGAGAGCACGGTCATGCTTGTCACATGTTCCTGCATCGGATCAAAGGCTTCTGCTAGCTGCACAACCCACCACAAGGCAGAACATAATCCCCCCCAAATAAACACTTGATGCTGGGATCAGTAGCCAGAGGCCTGGGTATCTCAGATTGTTCTTCCTGAAGAGCTAAACAAGGTGATATTTTAGGATATATTTTCTCTTGTAATGACATTTCTCTGTGTGGTGAAGTGTCTGCACATATAGAGATTAGCTGCATCTAAAAAGTTATTTTTTTCTCAGCTCACCTGTGTTTAAAGACTACACTGCAAAGTGTTGGACAAGAGATAGATTTAGATGATCCAAGGCCGTATGGAGGACAACATTTTAGAAAGTTAAAACCAAAATAACTTCAATCTGTTGTGCTTCTGTTATATTTATTCAGCACTGGACAACAAGTGTCATGGTGGAGCAAACTTTTCTTATTAAAGCAATAAGATTTCCCTAAGGTTAAAAATGAAGAGCAGCATGTCTGGGACAGGTGACACATGTTTGACCTCAAGCTGCCAGGCTGATATATTTTCTGTACAAGTGCTGTGCCAGCCTGTTCTCAAATCTTAAAAAAGACGTCTGATAAGTGGCCTAACTCCAACACTGTACAGTAGCTATACAGCGTCTACATATAACATCATTTCTGGACAATGTTGTCTAGCTTAATCAAGCTCAGCATAAGTTCAAGCAGGAAGAATGTTTCATACATTCATTCGATAGTCATCATTCATTCATGTGTTCCTGCCTAGCTGATTAGCTGATTAGGGGCATTAAAGGTATAATTTGTATAATTTGATTACAATGTTTACATTAAAATATATTTTTTTTGTTTAATACTTACTTAACCTCATATTTCCAACCGTTATCAAAGCCAGAGAAATATACAACTCTTTAGTTGTAATGGGACATGTCTTGTGGTGGCGGCCGCCTTGACACACACAAATGTTTATCGTTGCCAAGGAAACACCGGATGTTACTTCAAAGACCGCTGCATTAGGAAACGGGAACTGCTACTGAAAGCTGCCGTACAGTTGCTGTATCAATCAATCAATCAATAAATCATTATTTGTATAGTGCCAAGCCAATTCATAACAAGTGTTATCTTGAGATGCTTTACAAAATAGGATAATATGCAAGGGGGGTAGCAGAGAGAACTCCCATGATTCCCTGCCAGCCTTGACGTCATCTTTTTTGTTATTGTTTTGATTGACAGCCCCTTGACGGCAGAATTTCGATACCATGTATTTGACTCTTTCACTACTAAACCAACCAGATTCCATGACAACCTCTATTGACCAATCATCATGCTGCTCTCTTATTTTAAAGTCTGTTCTCTTCTGCTGTCCGTTTGTCTTTTCAGTTTGACCACTGTGACCCTCCTCCACCCCCAGTCACCTCCATTCCATCTCAGCAGTGTCCAGGCCCAGCTCCTCCTCAGCCCACTCCTCATCACAACCTGCATACTCCCATCACCACCACCAGTGATGTCTCCTTCCTGCTGTCTGCCTCACTAGTCATTCTAGTACACAATGAAGACATCATGATGGAGTCTAACCGCCAAAGATATTGCACATTTTCTCTTTTTCCAAACGCTGAAATTAAATGACTGTTAGTTAATAATTAAATATCTCCAGATTTAAATCTTTAGATGTTGAGAAGAAGTATGGTGAGGTCAAAATATTATTGTAATGGTGATATATGGTTCAAACAAAAACAGGGCTTCCAGGGATGATTCATTTTTGAACCAGTCAATGTTGACATCTTTCACAATGATTTATTTTCAAGTTGCCTTATTGTATATTAGCTAAGTAATATACAGAATGAAAACTAGTTACCTCAAATAAAGTTAAGGTTTGTCTGTAATTTGTATGGATCCAACGTAAAAGTATGCCAGACAATATTCACTGTCTTTTCTGAAACCTAGAACCAGGGATGTATTGTGCTTAAACCTGACCAAACTTTTTTTAACAATATTAACCACTGATAATGATGGTGGATGGATTGTCAGGGAGTTTGGTTTTTAGAATATAAATGGATGACACTTTTGGATACTTCTAGCTCGGTCTAAAACTTGACCACACCTGGACGTGTCAAAGAAAATCTCAGAACTCCTCAGCTTTTGTCTGATGGAGATATAAACCTCTGGCGCCATTATCTTCTGACAGCGTTGTTTCTATCGACATATTTCAAGGCTTAGGGCTTCAAGCTGCTGTTTTGATGAATTTGGAGTGAGAACATGTTGCTTCCTCCCCACACTGAAAACATGAAGCTCACCCACTTGACTATAAGCACCCCTGCATGTCTCAGCTTCATGTTGAATTCATGCATATATTAGTATAGAAGTATGAGGGCGTCAACAGCGCTGTGACAAAATGATGAATGAGTGTAAGGTGTGTTAAATGACCTTTTCAGTCTCTGCCGCTATCGACGCTTTCCACTCCCCTTCTGGCCCCATCCTGTGATATTTACGTCTCATGTATAATTTGTTTCTTGTGGGTAAGGAGGACTTCAGGCAAAACGCAAACATTGTTGAGCTGCTTATGTTCTGACAAAAGAGCATGTGCAGTCATGAGATATCAAAACAAATGATCTGATTCATACAATACTTGTAAGCCAATTGACCTGAGCATGTAAAGAAAGTCTGTTCTAAGACAAAACAGAAATGTCACAATTCACATTAATATGTTGACCTGTTTCCTACAGGAAGTGAAGCATCAAAATGCCAAAGTGTTTCATCAATCTACCCTTTTAGAGTATTCAAAATAGATTAATTGTAAAGGTCATGTATCAGTCAAAATGTCAAATTACTCACTCCTTCCAGTATCTCAATCTCATTTCAAATGTATAAAAAATACATTTATTATTAAAGTACAATTCTGAGATATTGGACAGTTTGTTGGAAGGAAAATTAAGCAAGGTAAAGAACCAACCTTGGCTACATAAAATGTATGTTTAAATAAATTCATTTTTAAAAAAAGGGCGCAGACATCAATGCCTGCTGTCCAACATAGAAAGCCATATATATATATTTCATATCACCATGCCCTCTTACCTCATGGATATAAAGCTGATTACAATCTAACAATATCATATTTACTTCAGCATCCTTTGCACTCTTTACCATTGCACAATTGTCCTATTGTGTTACTGACTACATACTGTGCAAATATGTATAGGATAGGATACTTTATTGATCCCCAGAGTGGAAATTCAGGCGTTGCAGCAGCACAGACAAGAAAGGTGATACAAAATACACATTCAACAGAATAGATTAGATAAGATAAATAGAAATAGGGGGTATATACAAGTACAAAATGAATGATGAAGTTAACTATGCAGGGAATTGAGACGTAAGTGAAGGGAATGGCAAGATAAAGTGATAAGTGATGATTAAAGTGACTTGGTATGATAAATAAATAGCAGCAAGTAATGTAAACAGCAGAGAAGAAGGAAGTGTTGTACCACAGTAATGCAGAGTGCAGTTATATAATTATATAATATAATGTAGTATAATATAATATAGTGCAATATGAACAATATAGTGTAATATAATTAAATGTAATATAATATAGACTAATATAATAATATATTAAAATATATATAATAAGAATGTACAGTATATATATGTATAGTGCAGCACTTTCATGT